CTAGCGCGCGAGCCGACAAACAGCTGATCAGCTGTTTGTCGGCTCAGCGCGGCAGCCATGTAAATGTAAATGAAGCCGCGATCATTTAAATCGCGGCTTCATTTGCCTTTGCTGAACAAACAAATCTACATGCCTCTGCCGACAGAGGCATGTAATCTAGACACAGCCTTATAGACTAACTGAAGTGTAGGAGCATAAGCTTTCATGGGCAAAGACCCACTTCGTCAGATGCATGTCAGACGAGGTGTGGCCAGAATGCTTCCGGGCTTCCCCACCCACAGACCATGATTGGTATGGGGTGGGGGAGCGCCTTTGCCCCCCAAGCTCTCCCTAGGCACCCATGCCCCTGGCAGTGAGATGAGACTTCCCGTGCTTCCCCACCCCCAAGCCAGTCAGGGCCTGGGGATGGGGAAGCACACGGAGCCTCCTCCCGCCCTGCCAGGAGCGCAAGGCGCTTTCAAGTGCTGTGCACTCCTCACAGGGCGGGGCTGGGAGGAGGGAACTTAGGGCACTCCCCCTGCCCCTGACCAATCAGGGCTTGGGGGCAGGGGAGTGCACAAAGTCTTCTCCGGCCCTGCCAGGAGCACGTGGCACTTCAAAGCACCACATGCTCCTGGCAGGGCAGAGGAAACTTGGTGCACTTCCTCCCCACCCCCAGGCCCTAATTGGCCTATGGGTGGGGGAGCGGCAGGGCCCCCACAGCTGGATCAATCCACTTGGATCCAGCCCGTCGAGGCCCTTTTGCCCACTCCTGGTCTATGCAGATCCTACTACTGTGTGCTAAAAGTTCCTCAGTGCACATGGAGGGGCTCTGCTTTGAAATGGGTGTAGCTCAAAGTGCACAGGGAACGTTGAGCAGGCATTGGCAAGGTTCCCGTGGACAGTCTGTGCCCAGCAGGCTAGTGCACCATTGATTACACCCACCTTGCTGCGCACTCACTGATCTTTTAGACAAACTCTTAGTCTCTCTAGGCCTGACTTCCCCAGTTGCAAAGTGGAGCTGAGGACTTGCCTGCCTCCTTGGGGTGCTGCACGGAGAAATACACTAGGCTGAGAACGGAGCCGTACAAGTACCTAACGGAGAGAGCAATAGCAGAGTCCTGTTTGTGATATGCGGTACCAGAGGGTAACCCTGGGTATTTCCTCTTTGTGTTCTAGGCTGGGCTTGAACGACTTCTCTCCAGAGGTGGAAAAGCAGCTGAAGAGCCTGCAGAGAGAAGGGCAGATCATTCATTTTTAAAGAACAGCTGTTCCATGGGGTGAAAGTAGCAATCGACTGGAGAGAGACACTGCCCGGGGCTGTGTCTACAGCCCGTGATTCAGTGTGGAAGGTGACCCAGCCGAAGATGAAAGCACTTTACATAAGGCATGTAGGGGCACACGGCAATGAAACTGGAGCCAAAGTCCTCTGATGGATCTGCTGAGCTGGGCACGACGACTCCTACTGGTCCATGCCACACATCCCCTTCCTCCTGGTTCGCGAAGGAAGTGGCATGTGGCAGGCAAGAGGCTGTGGGGAACCTGAAACAGCAGCCGCATGCCAAGCAGGGAGCTACAGTGAAGCTGAATTCAGAGCAGAGTTCCCAGGAACCGCATGTGCAGAGCCATATGTGGACCCGGCCTTGACTGCCCAATATAACAGCAGATGCAGGTCTGTGTGGGACTTAGGGAGGAGCAGCAGTGGCTGGGCAGAAACCCAGCACAGAAGGACCCCGACGACAGACACTGAGCCTGGCTTGGAAACCTACAAGTTCTTGTTTGCTTGGAACAGAGACAGACTGGAGCGGCACGAGGCAGGAAGAGCCCTGACTCAATTGGACTGGCCCAGGGGTCCAAACATTTACTGTTACCACTCCCTTTAAACTCTGTACTTAGCTACAACCTTCCCTTTCCAAATCCATGTTGCCAACATTTCTAAAGCATTTCCCTTCTCTCCATGAAAATTATTGTCCCCTCTTTCTACTAGTAAACACATTCAGCTGTGGAAGGACCCCTGACTTCCTGGCTACAAATCCAATATTTTAAAAAGTCTCCTGAGTCTCTTGGCCTTTCCCCAGAGTCAAAGCAAGTTCTGTTTGAACATCCGTTTTTCTTGGATTTTGGTGGCAGATGACAGGTTAGATCATGTTGGAGGATAATAAGGTGGTAAGTAACAGTCAACATGGATTTGGTAAGAACAAATCATGTCAAACTACTATCCTTCTATGACATAATAAGCTGCCTTATAGCTTGGGAGGAGAAGCTGCAGATGTGGCATATCCCTTCTCATAAGCTAAGTAGGGAAATACATCCAAGAGGAACCTACTATAGGGTAGGTACCCAATTGGTTGGAAGAGCATGCTCAGAGTCGTGATCAATCAAGATGGAGAGGCATGTTGAGTGGGGGCCCACAGAGATCTGTCTTGGGTATGTTTCTATTCAATATCTTCAGAAATGATTTGGATGATGGCATAGAGAGTACCCTGGAAAGCTTGTCGACCATACCAAGCTGGGAGGGGTCGCAAGCGCTGTGCAGGACAGAATACCAAGCTGGGAGGGGTCGCAAGTGCTGTGCAGGACAGGGTTAGAGTTCAAAATGATCCGGACCAACTGGAGGAATGGTCTGACATACACAGGATGAAATTCAGGCAAGACAAATGCAAAGTGCTCCCCTGAGGAAGGAGCAATCAGTTGCACACATACATGGGATGTGACGCCTGAGGAAAGAGTACGGTAGGAAAGGATCTGGGAGTTATAACGATTAACATTAAACATGAGGCAACAATATTAAAAAAAAAAAAGTGAAGACCATTCTGGAAAGGCGCCATTTGGAGAGGGCCGGGGCTGGCTCCAGCCAAGCGGCCTGGGACTCTGCTTTTCTTCTTCTTCCCCTGAACTGTGTCATCACCCATCAGGCCTTCTTCGATGTGGCTTACTATTAGGTGATCTGCTGCAGAATGAACCATGGTTCATTCTGCAGCAGGTCACCTAATAGTGGCTAAAAATATAGACCAGTCCCCCCAAGCCTCTGAACAGCAGAGATTTCAGGGGAACTACAGATGGAGAGTGGGGCAAGAGGCTGGTGATTAGAGAGGGGACTGGAGGGGGCTGGAACGGCAGCTCCCCCCAGCCGAAGGCAGGGAGAGGCCAGTGTCTCCCCTCCACTCCAAAATAGCCAGCACTGTGCTTTTCAAGTCGGGGGCTATGTCTACACTGCAGGCTTCTTGCGCAAGAACTTTTTGCGGAAGAGATCTTGTGCAAGAGCGCATCCATGCTGCTATGTGCTTTTGCACAAGAGAGAGTCTACACAGCCATGGACGCTTTTGTGCAAGAAAGCTCTGATGGCCATTCATAGAATTGTCATCAGAGCACCTGTGCTTTTTCCAATAGGGATTTCTTGTGCAAGAAACCTCTGTTGTCCAATAACTCTTGAGCAAAAAGGCTTATTTCTTGCAGAAAGAGGAATAACTCTTGCACAAAAAGCCCTGTCTTCTGACAATCTACTATACTTTTTCTTGTGCAAAAATGCACTTATAGTGTGGACGCTCCACGATTTTTTGTGCAAAAATGGCCATGCTGTGTAGACGTAGCCACGGTGATCACCTACAAGTGGGGGAGAGGGGTTACTCCCACAAAGGCCCAACATTCAGAAGGCAGAAGCAAAACCCTGGGAAGCATCAAGCCTTCTCCCTCTCCCAGCCCCCAAGAAAGACACCTCGTGATTTTAAACTATCTGTGGGTTTTTTGGATTCTGACTCTCGAATCCACCGCAGCAGGCTGCACATCAAACACTGTGTTTGTTTTGCTGTTTCAATCAAATGAAAGGACAGAGCTGAACTGCTCCCAGCCCCAGAACTGGCACCCAGCTCCGCAGTCCCGTGAGGTTCTTTACACGCTGGGTGACGTGTGCGCATGGAAATAGCAGCAGAGGTGTATGCCCTCCTAGAGCTGCCCGCTGGGCTAAGGAGATGCCCTGATGTCTGATTTGTGTCCATTTATTCTTTTGCGCAGAGCCTGTCCGGTTTGGCCAGTGTGCGCGGCAGAGGGGCATTGCTGGCACATGATGGCGTGTGTCACATCAGTGGCTGGGCAGGTGAATGAGCCCCTCAGATATGTAACGTAAAGCAATTTTGCCTCTCTCAGTATACACGCCTCCTCACCAGGGCTGTGTCTACATTGACACCCTTTTCCAGAAAAGGGTTGCTAATGAGACACTTCGGAATTGCAAATGCCCCGGGGATTTAAATTTTCCCCGCGGCATTTGCATGAACATGGCTGCCGCTTTTTTCCAGCTCGGGGCTTTGCTGGAGAAAAGCGCCAGTCTAGACAGGTATCTTGCAGAAAATAAACCCTTTTCTGGAAGATCCCTTATTCCTGATTTTCAGGAATATATCTGTCTAGACTGGCACTTTTCTCCGGCAAAGCCCCGAGCCGGAAAAAAGCGGCAGCCATGTTCATGCAAATGCCGCGAGGAAAATTTAAATCCCCAGGGCATTTGCAATTCTGAAGTGTCTCATTAGCATCCCTTTTCCGGAAAAGGGTGCCAATGTAGACACAGCCCAGTTGTTTGGAGTGGGCCACTTCCTCCCTGCCTGAACTGGCCCCATTAGCACCGCTCCTCCACTTGATAAGGTAACTCCCTGCTTTTCATGTGCTCGTCTAGTTATGCTGCCTTGGTCATTTCCTCTCTATGCAGCTTACAAAGTGGGTTTTACCCAGGAAAGCAATGCTCAAATCAACCTGTGAGCCTACATCTACACTGCCGGCTTCTTGCACAAGAAGCCTTTTGCGCAAGCGTTTTTGTGCAGAAACTTTTGTGCAAGAGCATGTCCACACCTCAAAGCACATCGTAAAAGCGATGTGCTTTTGAGCAAGAGAGCATCCACATTTGCGCAAGAAAGCTCTGATTGCCATTAACAGAATGGCCATCAGAGCACCCGTGCTTTTTCCCATAGTGGTTTCTTGCACAAGAAACCCCTCTGGACCGTCTACACTTGCCTTTTTGCTCAATAGCTGTAGCGCAAAAAGGAGTTATGCCTTGTAGAAGGAGGTTTACCTGCACCAGCAAATCCCTCTGTTCTGCCGTTTTACTGCTGATTTACTTGCGCAAAAGCGCATTTAAGGTGTGAAGGCTCTGCAGATTTTTGTGCAAAAACCTTGCAATGTAAATGTAGCCTGAGTCTTTAAGATGCCACGTGACTTCTCATTGTTTTTGGATACAGACTAACATGACGAAGAACTAAAGAAGGTCAATATAATTAATGCCCATCAACCTGAGTTTATGCAAAATAGATCTTGCAACTAATTTGATATCCTTTTTGTTGAGATTACAAGTTTCATTAATAAAAATGATAGCGTTGAAGTAATAGACGTGACTTCTGTAAGCCATTTGACTTGGTGCCATGCAACATTTTCATTAAGAAACTAGAACGACACAAAATTAACATGGCACTCATTACATGGATTAAAACCTGACTGCATGATAGATCTCAAAATGTAATTTTAAATGGGGAATCATCAAGTGGGCCTGTTTCTAGTAAGGATTCCAGGGATGGGTTCCTGGCCTTAGCTACTTAACAATTTTATCAATGACCAAGAAGAAAATATAAAACCATCACTGATGGCATTTGTGGGTGACATAAAGGTTGGGGGAGTGGTGGTGTAATAATTGAGCCCACTCATTTATGCAAACTGTGAGAGATGAGTGAAAGTTCATCAAATGTCACTGAAACCTGTAACAATGAATGTCGAGGGGAAAAGGTGCAAAAGGGAGACAAAGATGAAATTAGTCCAGACGAAAAGGTCTGTGTTAAGATTGTGCCGAGGGGGAAGGCAAATCAATGGACCCAAATTGAGGTGTTGTAAATTAGGACTAATTGGTAGAGAAAAGAATGAAGGGATGGGCTATTCCACCCAAAGCTCTCTTCTGGGGTCTTTACAAGACAAGACCCTGGTGTGCAGGGGAACATAGCCGCCGACGGTCTCACTGCAACAGGAAGAATTAGGGATGCTGGAGGTGCTGCCGCGCCACTTGGCTTGAGGTGGTTTTTATCCTACACAGGGTTTGCAGTTTGGTTCAGTGGGTGCCAGCATCCCCGCTGTACAAATGGTTCCAGCAACCCTGCTTCTACGGCTGACCGGGAGACAGGCAGACTAGAAGAAGAGGGTTCTCGTCATGGGGGCCACACCAACCACTCCTTGGGATCTACCGGGACACAGATGGGTCTTTGTCATCTTGGTCTTGAGAGATGTTTCCTGCTTGGATCAGGCCAGAGAGCGGGAGCTGGATGACATTGCTGCTTTCAGCAGCGCCGGCTTGGGATATGAGACTTGGGTTCTCATAACATGCCCACCCATCTCCATGCGACTTCCCCACCCTGTGTTTTCTTTCACCGTGTCACAGGGTGCAGCTCCCACTGCCAGACTGGTGCCTCCTTCTGGCCAGGCTGGGGATTAGCTCAGGGTCGGTGCCCCAGGTTTGCAGACTGTCACTCTGTCTCTGCGTCCACCTATGACCCCTTTCTCGCCATCTGGAATTGCAGCGCCCTCTTCATGACTCAGCCCTCTGGTTAGATCGCCCCCCCTCTTCCCCCCTTTTACATAGCACAGCCTGACTGCCCAACTGCTTCCCCAGCTGCAAACGGAGGGGACCCACTTTTCCAGGTACCAACCCAGGGGCCTTGTAAACCGCAGCCTCCTGCTGCTCCTCTACGTTCTCTCAAAACTGCTCTGTTTCCCTGGCCCATTTTCCCCCTGATCCCAGCACCTTCTTCACCCTCACCTCCAGGCCCTCAGCTGCTCAGCCCCAGCAGCCAGCCAGGAGCTCCCTCTAGCTCCTGCGTCCCTGAGAGCAGCTGCTCTGTCCAAGGTGCTTGTGCCCTGGTCTTTCCGCCCTCCAGGGACATGGTCCTCACTCCCTGCGCGCTCAGCAGCAAGTGACAACCTCTGGCCCAGCCGGCTTTTTCATGTGACCCGTTAGGCCCTGACTGGCTGGTACTTGTGGCCTCCCTCCTATTGGCTGCTTCTCACACAGCTGCCCGAGGCTTCTATTAACCCCTTTTATTGCAGTGTGGGGTAAACACCCCCCCCACACACACACACACACTGTCCTTTTATCTCCAGTCTAGGAAGAGTCTGGCTTAGCTGACCAAGACTGTATTTTGCTGTAAGACTGTGACTAGAGTGACAACTTAAAGCAGTGTCCTCTACAGCCTGATTTATCAGATCTCAGGATGGTGGATCAGACCATGAGCTGGGCCTCTGTTTCTCCAGCAATGAGATTGCAAGGGCGAGTCGACTCCCATGGCAGAAGCTGCATTTTCTAGCTTTGCCATTCTCTTCTTTCCTCTTTTGTGTGTGTGTTTGTCTTCTGTCTTCTGAGACACGGGATTAAAACTGTAACAGACAACCGCAGCTCATGCATTTCCCTTCATTCCCCCCAAAGAACAGTGTATCTACTTTTCCAAACCTTAGAAGAGACTGCCACAGTGTGTGTGTGTGTGTGTGTGTGTGTGTGTGTGTGTGTGTGTGTGTGTGTAAAAGAAGAGTGGGGTTCTTTTAAAAGCGAAGGAATCAAGCATTACTGTTATACCACCACCCTTATTTCACACTTTGCATTGCAAAGGCTTTAACTGTTTTCCCTTTGTTCTATATCCTCAATAAAAAGTTAATACAATTTTAATGGTGTTTTGCCAGTGGATGAAGCAGACATTGGAATCTTGAGCCACATTTAAAACAACAAGGAGTCCCACGGCCACCTGACGCCGTGGGTTTTACCCACGAAAGCTGATGCCTAAATAAATCTGTGAGTCTTTAAGGTGCCACAGGACTCCTCGTTTTTTCAGATCCAGACTAACACGGCTCCCCGTCTGCAACTGGGAAACTGTTCCTATTGTACAGTGACCCTTAGTCTCAGGGAGTGGCATGCAGATAAGGAGTTAGAAGCAGGACTTCACTTCCTCACTCAGCTGCCCCCGGACTCCTACAGAGCCAGATGCCACACTTGGGAGGGGGCTGCAGATGGTGCTTCTTCGCCCAGCCTGCAAGGTAAGTGACAGGATTTCCCTGGGCATTTTCTACCTCCCTCTCCCACGGGAGCACAGGGGAGCTGTGAGGGGATGGTAGAATCTCCCCAAATTGCAGCTTTCCTGGCTCATGGCAGATTGAAAGTGAAAGCCCAGGCCCCGGCTGGAGAAGGCAGAGCAGTAAAGTCTGCAGCCGGGCATTTCCATTCTACCTATGCCAAGGAGTCCAGCATAGTTACATGAATGCAGCAAACATCACTCCCCAAAACAGGCCCAAATCAGCCCCTGGAGAGCTCTCTGAAGGGGCTGGAGGACCAGGCCTGCCTCAGCCTTGATGTACACAGGTGGAATTGCATTGAAATCCAGGGGAACTGCATCTGTGCTCACTTTGCCCTTGTTCATGAAGAGTCTGCACCGAACCACCCCGGAGCATTTTTCATTTTGGTTGCTCTGAGTTGCCCCCCAGAGCAGCTGCCATCTACAGAGCCAGTTCACACGCACCCAGGGATGGTGCTGGGCCTGGCTCCTGGAGCGCAGAGAAAATCAATGTGGGGAGAGCAGGTTGCCATGGTGAGCCCCTTGTGCAAATCCTCTTTCCATTTCCCACCGCACAAACTGGGAGGATCTGGCCCCTGGGGGTTTTCTCTCCCAGTTGGAAAACAAAACATGATGCCCCCCAAGTCCCAAGCTGTGGAAGTTCTTGGGACAAAGGGACTCAGCCCTAGAAGTGCAGGTGGAGACAGAAAAGCGGCTGCCCAGCATCCAAGTGCAGAGTGAGAAACTGCAGGAAAAGCAGAAATAGTGGGAAAAGAGCAACTGGCTGGGCTTGCTTCCCCACCCATGTAAATCAGGAATAATGTCACTGGTGGCCACACAATTAAACTTGGGTTACATTGGGGTGAGAAATGACACCAGCCCTGTTGGGGTGTGGGCTAGAAAGGAATGTTGGATAACGAGGCACATTTAGCTTAGGGCTGTTGCTAACAAGGGCACTGGGACAGTGCGGAGGTGGTTTTCAGGATAACAGGAGCTGGTTTGGGCCCCAGGAAATGTTAAGGTAGCTCTGAGGTGCTGCCTTAAATTGTACCTTCATGGTAACGGCCCCTCCACATGCTGCCCATGTGCCATTCTGGAGCATCCCTTGCACTGGGGCCAATGGTCCCTGTAAGCTGCGTGGGCAGATTCAAATGCTGCCCAGCTGGTTAGCAGAGTGCCCACAGCCTCTCATAGCCAGCAACCTGTGTTTCTACTGGTGGTGCACATCCACACATGCCTTGGTGCACATAACAAAATTCATTCCACACATGGGTGGACAAAATTAGAGGGTACATTGACTGGGACCTCCTGCTCCTGGATTGCAGGAGAACAGCCCCTGAACTGTGCCCAAAGAGCCTGATTCCCCTTTGCCGTATACTCTCTCGATCTCTTCCATCCAGGCACACTGAATACAAATCCTGGCAGCTCAGAATTCTCCTGTGGCACAGACACCCAGGAAGCATTTGCACACACTCTACAGATGTGCATGGCTGTGGCAGGGGAAGCCTAGGCCCAGCTTATCAATTGTGCACAAAAGAGATGATCACAGGCATAAGGAACTTAGCCCACCCTGGTACAAGTGTGATCCTTTCCATGCTGGTCAACACACCAGGGACCAAGCCAGGAACATCCAGATTTAAAAGCGTGGCTGACTGCAAGTCCAAAGTGCTGGGGCTTGTAATACCTCATCCCCTTTGCAGATCAGCACAGTGGGGACTTGAAATATACTCTCATCAGCAGGAGCCCAGGGAGTTGCATGGAGTGATGTTTGCATAGATTGGACCATTGGTTTAGAGCAAATGAAAGGGAACGAGAGCACAGAAACATGTTCTCTTTAGAATAGCCCATGTAATAAAAAGCATTCTCCAGATGGGAATGAGCTGTAGACCGAAATAATCTCCCTGACTCTGTATGATGCACATTTTCCTCTCTCTAAACTTCCCAGGGACACGATGACACAGACCAGATAAAATGGCTTCCAGACAAAGGCCTGCAATGACTGAAGGTGAGTGTAGCTGATGGGCTTAGCTCGTCATTCATGAAGAATTAAAGACGCGTAATGTAATTCATGTCAATCAACATGGGTATATGCAACATAGTTCCAGTCCGCCTCACCTGATATCTTTTTTGATGAGATGGCAAGTTTGGCTGAGAAATAGAATTAGACTTCTGTAAGGCATTTGACTTGGTACCATATGATATTGTGATTAAAAACCTAGAACGATATCAAATTAACACAGCACACAGTAGATGGATTGAAAGCTGGTTAACTTACAGGCCTGAACATGTGCTTGCAAGTGGGGAGTCGCTGAAGGCTGTAATTCTAGTGGGGCACTGCAGGGATCAGTTCTTGGCTCTGCGCTCTCTGATATTTTTATCAATGACCTGGAAGAAAGTATAAAGTTTGCCAGTGGCCAATAGGGAAGCGGACAGGCCATCCATACAGAGCTCGTTTGCTTGAGCCACGCTTAGCAATATGCATTTTAATATGGCTCGATGTGCACGTATAGGAACAGAGAATGCACTTACAGGAGGGGGGACTTTTCCCTGGGAAGCAGAGACTCTGAAAAAGATGTAGGGATCATGGTGGACAATCACGTGCACACAAGCTCCCAGGGGAGCCAAAAGGGCTCCCGTGACCCCTGGATGTGCAAACAGGAGACTCTCCAATAGGAGTAGGGAGGTTATTTTATCTCCATAGCTGACACGGGGATACTGAGTCCAGTTCTGGTGCCCACAGTTCAAGAAGGGCTGAGAGGTTCACGGGAGAGTCATGAGAACAACGCCATAGGGTTGGCCCCTTCGCTGGCTGACAGGGCCTGCATCCTCTCAGTTCTTTTCAGCCGGGTGGCACTCTCCTCTTACAGGCACCCCGCTTTGGCCAATGGGTCTCTCTGTGGGTCTGCAACAACTCAGCCAGAGGACGGCCTGCACTGTCCTTGTAGCCCTCCCCGGGCTGTGGTCCTCTTGTCAGACTATCCCCAGAACTTTCTCCCTGGAATCTCTTGGCCTGCCCTTTAATTCTCTGACCCTAGCTCTCCAGCTGGGTCAATCTAGATCTGTTACCCTTGGGGGGGGGAGGAGTTCCATTGATAACCCCTTCCCTCAGCCTGTCTTCAGTGAGTCCTGGCAGCCAGCCAGAAGCTATTCCCTTGATTCTCTGGTCCCTGCCCTGTGTTAGCCCTTGCAGCTAGCCAGAGGCACCTCTGCTCCCCCACTCTCTGAAGGCAGATGGCACTCATTCTGGCCCTGCAGCTCCTTTTATATGCACCTGCTGGGTCCTCACCAGCTTTGCTGATTGGCTGCTTCCCCTGCAGCCACTCTAGCCTGCTTGGAGGACCACTCCTCTGCTCCATTCCTGGTATGGGTGTGGCTGGATCCTGAGGCCCCCAGCAGAAGGCCTTGAGGTGTAGTCTATCCTATCTCACTGCCTTATATCATCAGCTCAAGGACCTCAATCTATTTACTTAACAAAGAGAAGGTGAAGGGGTGAATTGATCACAGTCCATAGGTAGCAGGATGTGGAACAGATATTTAATAATGGGATCTTCAGTCTAGTGGACAAAGCTCTCCCACAGTCTGATGGCTGGAAGTTGAAGCCATGTTTAACAGGGAGAGTCATTAACTTCTGGAACAACTGGTTCCCGTGGTTAATTACTCTGGTTGGGGCAGATTCTCCATCACGGACCGGTTTCAAATAAGGGTGGGATGTTTTTCCAGGAATTTTTTGGGGGATCTCTGTGGCTGGCATCATACCGGCGGTTCAGGCTGGATCATCCCAATGGCCTTGGAGTCTATGAATCATGAACCAGGAGGCGCTGCTCCTGCCACAGAGTCCAGCCCCCCAGCTGTAGCTCCTGCCCCTGCCTCAGTTTCTCAAGGGCTTTGCCTAAGGGCGCAGGATGCAGCAGCCCACCTCTGAGGCGATGCTGCTTGGTGCACCATGTGTTATCGATGCTCTGATCTGCTCTGGCTACTGACTGGTCGGGTGAAGTCAGGCACTGGGTGTGACCTGGGGAGTCCTAGGTGTGGTTGGGACCTTGCTGCTTGGGTGACCCCCTTTCTCCTTGTGCCCGAGTGGCACCGCTGTGATAAGCAGAGACACAAGAGCTGGTCCCCCTTGGGTTAAACTGTGCTCCGGATCAACTTTCCTACCAGCATAAAATAATCCAGGGGTCTACTGACTTCCGGCCATGCTGCAGGATACGTCTCTGCCTACGGGATGCAGAGGAGGGAAGTCTTGGTGAAACATCAGGGGGCAGAAGGGAGGCTGGTGCTCTGTGGACAATCTCACGCTGTTTTCAGAATATTTGGTGGGATGAAGAGTGAGTTTCTTTATTCGCTGAATCACTGCAGCTCCTAGGTGACCCAGGCAGGGATCCCCCGCCTTTTGGGCCGGGTGCTGTACAACCTACGAGCCTCTTCTAAGTTTTTAAAAATGAATCTAATAGTGTAATCCGGGCAAAGGCTGGGGGTGGAGTATCTGTGAGCTCCTCACACCTTTTGCTCCAGCCCAGCTCCCACCCTTCATCACCTGCCATGGTGACCACCGAGAAGTGTGATTGGTGGGCTCCTCTCAATATGGACCAATCAGAGCTCGCCCCCACAGCCAGAGTACCTGGTGTGTGTGGGGGGGCGGTTAGAGCGCATAGAATGGGTACGTGTCCCTGCCTGTCAGTATGTGCCAGGGTGCCTATGGGCTGCTCTTCTCCACAGGTGATGTTCATGCCTTCAGAGAGCACCTGGGTAATTTTACCCCCGGGGAGCTGATGAGGCTGAGCGAGCACTTCCGCCCCGACTTGGTGTACGTCATCGAAAACGACATCCTCACTGTGCTGCAGGAACTCACCGCCAGGCGCGTCCTCACCGCACAGCAGGCCCAGGTAGGACTCCCTTCACATTATGCTGGACCCTAGGCTAAAGCTGCCTGAGCGGACGTTCTAATTTCCCTAGAGAAGCCTCGTCCTCCGACACCAGGGCAGATGGAGCTTGCACGCAGAGGCCTGTCTTTCTCCAGGGCAGGAGAGAGTCTGGGCTGCTTCTAGCCACAGGTGCCATCACATGCCAAGAAAATAACAGGCTCCAGGAACTTTCAGCTATGGACTCATTAGACCTGTTAGAAGCAAGCACCAAAGCTGGAGAATCTGAATTTGCTCAGTATTTCGGACCCTGCTGCCCCTGAAAAGCACTTCTACAAAGCTCCAATTTGGTTTTTTAGATCGCCACACTCTGGGCTGGTCCCTAGCTTGGGCCAAGTGTGGTCTGACTTGCTGGGCTCAGGGCTCCGTCTGGTGGCCAGTGTGGGGTGTAGATAGGGATCCAGACAAAAGCCCAGGTCCACAAGGAGACAAAAGTGCCTAACTATCACGTTAGGGCCTAAGTCAACATTTAAGCCCCATTTAGATTCTCAACACCCCCTCGCCCCTCAGCTGTCACCCAGGGCTGGCTCGAGCCATTTTGGTGCCCCGGGCCCTGGCGCCACCCTGAGCGCATGGCGCATACACGAGCCTGCCCCCCCGGGGCACACGGGCCCACCTCCAGATGCACGGCGCATGTGCGAGCCTGTCCCCAGGGTGCGCAGGCCTGCTTCTGGGCACATGGCGCATGCACAAGCCTGCCCCTGGGGCGCGCGGGCAGGATGTGCCTGACTGTGCAGGGCCCCGCAGCTGCGGGGAGAAGGACACTGGCCACTGCAGCCCTCCGGGAGCCAGGTGCGGGGTGCCTGATGGCAGCACCTTACAGCTACCATCAGGCGCCCCCCATTGGTTGGTGCCCCGGGCAGCTGCCTGGCTTCCCCACCCCTTAGTCTGGCTCTGCTGTCACCCAGTGTGTGGGCACCTAGAGCCCCTGGGTGTCTAATTTTCCACCACTGATGTTCTCAAGAGGCTTAAGGGTCTGATGCTGGCCATCCACCCCACACACATGCAAAATGGGAAATGATTACTGAGATGTAGGAATACATCCGAAAGAGTCCTGGGGGTCATAGTGGATCAATATGAGTCAACAATGTGATACTATTGCAAAAAAAAAGAAAACATCATTCTGGGAGGGTATGTCTACACTACAAAGTTAATTCGAACTAGCGGAGCTCTTAGTTCGAACTAGGTAAACCTCATTTTACGAGGACTAAGCCTAGTTCGAACTTACTAGTTCGAATTAAGGGGTGTGTAGCCCCTTAATTCGAACTAGTGGGAGGCTAGCCCTCCCTGTGATACTATTGCAAAAAAAAAGAAAACATCATTCTGGGAGGGTATGTCTACACTACAAAGTTAATTCGAACTAGCGGAGCTCTTAGTTCGAACTAGGTAAACCTCATTTTACGAGGACTAAGCCTAGTTCGAACTTACTAGTTCGAATTAAGGGGTGTGTAGCCCCTTAATTCGAACTAGTGGGAGGCTAGCCCTCCCAGCTTTCCCTGGTGGCCAACTCCGGGCACCACCAGGGAAACTCGTATGCCCCCCTCCCGGCCCCGGACCCCTTAAAGGGGCACGGGCTGGCTACGGTGCCCGTGCCAGGTGCAAGCCTGCCAGCACCCAGCTAGCAGACCCTGCACC